TTCAATTAATCGTAGTACTTGTGCACGATCTCTATAGCTAGCTAATTACACTGAGAGAGATGCTTGAGAGCACCCTTTATTACTATTTCCGCTAATCTGAGGTTTAAAAAGTAGGGTAGAGGGGTGTGGTGCTTTTTTCTGGATTTTACGGTACATTTATGATTTAGATCTTGAATTGGATCCTCGTCCAATCAATTTAATTCTGTATTGTTAAATATATAATTCGATCCAGGATCTAAATCCTTTATGTTTTCGTGTGACTTAAGGACCGAGTCCTGAAAGGATCGGTTAGGACTCGATCCAAAATGTTCGATTAACATCCCTACGGAAATTTTTCCTGGAATAGTCTTACCACTATTCATGTATCCATGATAAAAATCGCATAATGAACCGAAAAGCTTTAAAAATTTTACTACGTACGAATGCGAATATTATCAAATTGCCATTTCCAAATAAATAATAATTTTTACCGCGAATGCAAGTATATTGATATACTACGTATCAAATTGCCATTTCCAAAATAAATAATTTTATGTGCGTACGTACCGCGAATGCAAATATTATCAAATTGCCATTTTTAAAAACAAATCTGAAGATATATCGATATAACTTGTTTCACGACGCAAAATGAATCATGCGGCTTATTTTGCATCTATTTAATATGATTAAAAGAACCCTTTAAAAATATAACAGTTCATGTATATTTATAGATTATCAAGATATGTAACACGGCTATCATGGGCATGAGTCATAGTTATAAAAGGCCGGTTTTTGAAAAAAAAAATTGTAAAAAAAATTTGCTCCATTACTTACCACCACTATGAGTTCATTCGGTACTCTTTTTCGCGTAACAACATACGGAGAATCGCATGGTAAGTCTGTAGGATGCATAGTGGATGGCTGTCCTCCTGGTTTGCCTCTTGTAGAAGCCGATATACAACCTCAATTGAGTAGGAGACGACCGGGACAAAGCAACTTGACTACTCCGGTACGTGTAAAGCATTTTATCCTTGTGATCTATTACTAAATTTATTAATATTAATCCTATTAATCTTATTTAGCGTGATGAAAAAGATTTGGTAGCTATACAATCCGGAACAGAGTTCGGAATCACGCTTGGGACACCAATTGGAATGATGGTTCGTAATTTAGATCAGAGACCTCATGATTATTCAGAAACAGACTTGTACCCGAGACCTAGTCATGCCGATTGGACATATCTCCAAAAATATGGTGTTAAAGCTAGTAGCGGTGGTGGTAGAGCGTCTGCCAGAGAAACAATAGGTATGTTTCCTTTATTTAATCAATTCTAAGAAAAAAATCTACAATTTCTTAATTTGCACAAAAATAGGTCGAGTGGCTGCTGGTGCCATTGCGGAAAAGTATCTTAAACTCGCACATGGAATTGAATTTGTAGCTTTTGTATCTTCTATTTCATCCATTGTTATGCCATTTATTCATATGGAAGATGACAGATTGTTTCCACAAGACTTTTGGGAATTGCTTAATACCATAAAACGAGAGGATATTGACAAAGATCCTGTAAGGTGCCCGAATAAAGAGGTTTCAGGAAGAATGCGCGAGGTTTGTAAATACATATCTATTTTTTCATGATTTTTCAATAATCACAGGTATTCAAATGTAAATTTCTTTATTCAGCGTATTCTTGAAGCTAAAGCAACTAACGATTCTGTTGGTGGATCTATTACATGCGTGATTCGCAATATTCCACCAGGGATTGGTGAGCCATGCTTTGATAAATTAGAGGCCAAACTTGCACACGCAATGCTTTCGATCCCAGCTACTAAAGGATTTGAAATTGGAAGTGGATTCAAAGGTACAACAATATTTGGACATCAACATAATGACCCTTGGGTTAAAAAAGATGGACATTTAGGAACCAAAACCAATAATTCAGGTGGAATTCAGGTATTGAATACGCGATGGTTTTAACTAGAACCTTTTTAGAAATTATTCAACTTCAATAATGTTGACACGTCTAAATTACATTAACAAGGGTGGTATTTCGAACGGAGAAAATATATTTTTTCGTGTTGCATTTAAACCGCCGGCCACTATTTCTCAAGCACAGAACACAGCTACTTATGATGGTGTGGATGGAGTACTTGCGGCAAGAGGTCGCCATGATCCGTGTGTAGTACCAAGAGCTATTCCTATTGTCGAATCCATGGCGGCGCTGGTTATTATGGAGTAAGTACATGACGAAAAATTTGTACATGACAGTGCATAACCTTATTTTTTTAAATTAATTTTAGTGCGTTATTGATCCAACAATCACGAAAAACTGCTGCTTCGCTTCTTCCCCCAATTCCTAATCTTCCACCTACAATGAATGCCGTGTTTTCAGGGGTTCGACCTCCGGGGCTAACCTCCGACGTAAAGACAAACGATACGAACTGTAGTTCACAGGGTGACCAATAGAATATTTACTTTGTGAATATAAATAACAATAAATTTTTTAATTTGTAAATTTGTAATAAATAAATTACTAGATTAAAAAGCTAAATATATTTTTATAATGGGACTAGTTTTTATATCCACTATATTTATTATTCATACCCTCTAACAAAATAAAAACTTTGAGCAAAGATATCTCAATAACTAACTGATCAAATTCGATAAAAATTTTTTTATTTTGATTCTATGAGTCTAGAGTATTCAAATAAAAAAAATTTGTCAAATTTGGTCAAGTGGTTGTCTAGATATCTTCGATCAAAGTTTTAAAAAAACTCAAAACGCCTATCAAAATAATTATGTTAAATTTCTTTAAAACTTTGAGCGAAGATATCTTAACAACCACCTGACAAAATTTGATAAATTTTTTTTATTTGAATCCTCTAGACACATACAATCAAAATATAAAAAAATTTAAAACGCATATCAAAATAAAGAAGCTGCGCCAAATTTTTAAAACTTTGAGTCTTGATCGAATTTATGAATTTTTTTTTTTTTTTTATTTGAATTCTATGAGCCTAGAGGATTCAAATAAAAAAAAAAAAAATCATCAAATTCGATCAAGTGGTTGTCGAGATATCTTCTAAGTTTTAAAAAAATTTGGCGCAGCTTTTTTAACTTTTTCAAAACTTTGAGTAAGATATCTCGACAACTATCTGATCAAATTTTTGATGGATTTTTTTTTTTATTTTGATTCCATGAGTCTAGAGAATTCAAAAAAAAAAAAAAAAACCCATCAAATTTGGTCATGTGGTTGTTGAGATATCTTCGCTCAAAGTATTAAAGAAATTTATTTTGATAGGCGTTTTGAGTTTTTTTTAAAACTTTGAGCGAAGATATCTCGACAACTACTTGACCAAATTTGATAAAAAATTTTTTTTATTTGAATCCTCTAAATTCATAGAATCAAAATAAAAAAAATTTTCATCGAATTTGATCAGATGCTTGTCGAGATACTGTATCTTCGCTCAAAGTCTTTGTTTTTTGTTAGGGGGTATGAATAAATATAGAACAATAAAATATATATATATTTTTTATAAAAATGATAAAAAATAAAATTAAAAGTCAAAAATTTGTTAACCGATCAGTTAAAAAACGCCAAAGAATTCTCCAAAAGACACCAAGGAAACTTAGATAATCCATTAAAAAATGCCAAAGAATCAGAAATATCAAAAAAACATTAAAGAATTCTATAATGTCAAAAAAAAAAAAGAATATGCTAATGGGACATCGAATAACCTCCAAGGAAATATCAAAGAATTCTCCAAAGAACGCGCCTAGGATAGAGGTTAGTTCCTTTGAATATCTATTACGCATGACTATTCAATAAAGAACAGTATCCGAATCCAGATAAGATCGGCAGAATTACTATATTGGGACAACAGTAAATTTTTGAGCAGAGTCCAATGATAAGTATATTTTTTTTTATTAAGTTAACAACCAAAGCCAATTAATTGAAAGTTGTAAATCTCACTGAGACGCATATAATGGTGGTTATATCATCCAAATTGGCCCAGTGGATTCCGAGATATCACTAAAAAAACAATTGGTTGACTATATAAAATTTTTATTTTATTTATATAGTCGGCCGATCGTTTTTTAGTGATATCCACTGGGTTAATTTGGATGATCTAACCACTATTAGATGCGTCTCGGTGAACTTTACAATTTTTAAATAATTGACTTTGGTTGTTATCATAATAAAAAAATTACTTATCATTAGACTCCGCTCAGATTCCAGCATATAGTTAATATCATAGGAAGGGAAAACCCACATTCTGGCTTTCAATTATATTTTGTGCTTAGTTTATTTTTTGAGTGCTGTCTAGTGAAAATCTATCATCGGATTTCAATATTTTGTGACAAGTCATTGGCACTATAATCGAAAGTCCGACGATAGATTTTCCATAGACGGTACACAGAAGATTT